GAATAAATGTCAAGGAATTCTCCAGCGAGCGCGAGATTTTGGAATACATTTCAAGGAAGTATCAGGCGAGACCGTTGTTGTTGTAGTCCGGGGCCCACAACCCAGTTTGAGCACGAAGACCGTTCCTGATGAAAAACGGGGTGCGAACCCAGGGAGGGCCACTTCAGTCGAAAGACATCGAGGTGCACCGCGGAGGGGGAAACAACAATGATTATTCTTCAGACACGAACATTCAACAACGTTCCCATTCGAGACTTCCTGTTTTTTTACTCGGGGCCGGTGTGCTCTTGCTCGCCCGCGAAAGCAGCCGTCCCAACAAAACCAACACTCCCGCTCCAGACTTTCTCCCGTTTTACCTTGGACTGGCGCGCTACTCGTTCTCTCATCGGCGTCGCCCCGCAGCAAGACCAACGCTCCCGCTCGAGACGTCCTCCCTTTTTTACCCAAGGCGGTGTTCTTGCTCGCCGCCGAAAGCCGCTGGTCCCGCCAAAGTTTTCCTCTCGTTTTACGCTGGATTGGCGCCTTTTGCTCTCCCTCCTCCTCCTCCTCATCATCATCCTCACCCTCCTCCTCCTCCTCCTCCTCCTCCTCCCTCCTCTCCCTCTTTCCTCTTCCTCCCTTTTTCCTCCACGCCCTCATCTTTCTCTCCTCCCGCCGTCCCCTTTTCCTTCCTCCTCCTCCCTCCTCCTCCCTCCTCCTTTCCCTTTTTGCGGGGCCCCAGAATATAATTACACCACCACGGGGTGGCCGTAGAACAAGACAAAAACCTGCGCGCGACCGCCCAGACAGGGGTGTGACTGCCCGCCTGCGCCCAGCGCAAGTTGTTGCCACGTCGTCATGCGCGCTTATGGCGGCCGTATTCGGCTGTGTTTGGTTACTTCGTAGCACCCTATGGCAGTACGGTGGTGGTGTATAAAATCGATGGGCCCCCAACGGCATTTTTATCACCATCCCGAAATATACACCATGCGGATGTGTTTTTTGCGCATGCAGACGCGGGCCAAAATGACGCTGCGCACGCGGCATCTCATTAACGCCGGACGCGAGGCACCCTGCAAAGCAGCGCCGAGACAATCATCCAATTAACCCACATGGAAGAAAACCAACCCACGGTGGTGATGTATATGCGTGTGTCCCGGATGTTTCGTCCCCTTTGTCTCCTGCCTCCTCCTGCTTCCCTTTTCCGTCCCCCCTCCTCCCTTCCCCTTCCGTCCTCCCTCGTCGCTCTCCCTCTCCTTCGTCCTCCCCGCCCTCTCCACCCTTCCTCCTTGGAGCAGGGCGCGGGCGACGGGATTGCAAATGTGACGTGCTGCCAGCGCAGAGCAGTTATATGTTCCTCGGAAGAGGTGTTCGCGATACCTCACTGCGCGAGTCCTGGGCATGCGTATTTCGGACCCCCATTGCGCAAAGAGTGATATCCCCCATGATGGGGGGAGTTTTACGTCGGGCATGTCCCCCTACACGCGGATGTTTGGACGATTGAAAAAAAATCAAAAACATTCCCAAAATACACAAAAAAAAATCCCAGACTATCATTGCACTATCCTGGAATATTCCTCCTGTAAGGGGGACAGGCCCGATTTAATGGTAGTTGCCATGACGGGTGCGCGTGGCAAGTGGGAACATGGCGCATGTGGGTAAAATGATTGTTGTCGTTGTTGTCGTCGTCGTCGTCCTGCCCGAACCATGCTGCGCGACAGAACACGGCAGCGCATTGTTCCTTGCACTGTTCGCATTTGGCGCGCGACCCAGATCAAAGCTGATGGAACTATTTTCCACCACCACTACCATATGTTGGAAGGGGATGGGGGGGGGAGGAGGAGGAGGAGGAGGAGGAGGAGGAGGAGGAGGAGGAGGAGGAGGAGGAGGAGGAGGAGGAGGAGGAGGAGGCGGAGGAGGCGGAGGAGGCGGAGGAGGCGGAGGAGGCGGAGGAGGGGAAAGATGAGGACCCCATTCCCCTCCTACCCATGGTGGTAACGTGCCCATCAAGAGCGGCTCCACGTGGACGATCTGTGCCAGCGCGATCCGCACTCGCGGGATGATAAGTTTAGAGCTAAAAGGCATCCGCGCCGGAACGACGAGGAGGAGGAGGAGCAGGAGGAGGAGGAGGAAGGAGGCAAAGATGAAACAACGGCCGTGAGACAACGATGGCCAAATCGGCTCAGAATCGGTCCCCGGACACCTCCCCCGATTCAAGCGCACCAGATTTCCACTCTGCGTCCAGCCGTGGCGACGAGGAGCCCCCGCGAAGGCCAAAATGGGAAAAAGGGCAGCCCTTGTCTCCTCCCTCCCTCTCTGAGACTTTTCCTGGTCGAGATCAAGACCAGGCGGCCGAGAAGACTGTGCGAACGCTGGTCTCGGCTCCGCGGTGAATCGCTGGCCGCGGGCGGCGACGCTCAGGCGGTCCACTGCTTCTTCTGCTCGAGGCTGTCGAAGAAGTCCTTGTGGGGATCCACAGAAAGGGGGGGGGGTCCCTGAGGGGGAGGACGAATTCGATCCGTGATGCATCGAATCTCCGGAAAACGACACCAATCCACGAGCTCCGATTGTCGACACCTCTCGAGTTCCAGCGGCTGCCGTGGGCATCGTTTTTCCGCGGTTCGATGCTCCCTCCCCCCCTGTGCCACCCCCCCTTAAACAATGGCGACCTCGAATCGGCGATAGATCGACGATGGCCTCCGATAACGAAACTGAATGTTCCTGGGCGGGCTGGGGTAGGCACCGATCGGCGATGACTGGGTGCTTGGGAGTCGATGCTGGCCCCCCCCCTGAGCCAGTCGACCCCTCTCTCGGAGCCCGGCGAATTGAGACACCGACAATTCGAAATAGGCTCAAAGTCGGTCCTGGGACCCCTCCCCGGGTCCAAACGCCCTCATTTTTCACGCTGCGTCCAGCCGTGGCGACGAGAGCCCCCCACCGAAAGCCAACTCCCAGTGTCTCAAACGGCTCTCCCCTGACTCTCGCCGCCCCTGCAGTCCTTGACGTGCCTGCCGTTGTGGGGGTCCTCGGCCGGTCGTCGTCGTTATCTTAAGTATGCCATCTTTAGGGTTTTCAGTGAGCGGGGTAAATGAGGAGGGGGAGGAGGAGGAGGAGGAGGAGGAGGGGGAGGAGGAGGAGGAGGAGGAGGAGGAGGAGGAGGAGGAGGATAATCTATTTACCCCGGTCGCAGAACTCCCTGAAATGTATACTTGATTATCGGCGCTCGCCGCGTCCCCTGCCGGGGTTCGAAAGGGTCACTTTTCGGTCCCCTTTCGGCCCCCTTTGGGGCCCCTGCGGGAGCCCCAAAGGGACCGTTTCGGGACCTTTCGGGTACCGCTTAGGGCCACGCTCGCAACCCCTCCATCTATGACCCCCACATCACCCCGCGGCCCGAGCAAGGAGGAGGAGTAAGAGGAGGAGGGAGGACGAGGAGGAGGGGGAGGAGGAGGGGGAGGAGGAGGAGGAGGAGGAGGAGGAGGAGGAGGAGGAGGAGGAGGAGGAGGAGGAGGAGGAGGAGGAGGAGGAGGAGGAGGAGGAGGAGGGAGGAGGAGGAGGAGGGGGAGGGGAGGGGGAGGGGGGGGGGAGGGGAGGAGGAGGAGGAGGAGGGAGGAGGAGGAGGAGGAGGAGGAGGAGGAGGAGGAGGAGGAGAGGAGGGGAGGAGGAGGAGGCCCCGCGGCCCAGTTATCGGCGCTCGCCGCCGTCCGGGTCCTCGGCCGGTCGTCCGGTCGTCCCGTCGACGGCCCGCCGTCATCGGGGGTTCGCCGCCGTCGGTCGGTCCGCTGGCGGCTCGCGGTCGGTCTTCTGCACCTCCTCCTCCTCCTCCTCCTCCTCCTCCTCCTCCTCCTCCTCCTTCCTCCTCCTCCTCCTCCTCCTCCTCCCCCCCCCTCCCCCCTCTCCCTCCCCCCTCCTCCCTCCCTCCTCCTCCTCCTCCTCCTCCTCTCCTCCTCCTCCTCTCCTCTCCTCCTCCTCCTCCTCCTCCTTCCTCCTCCTCCTCCTCCTCCTCCTCCTCCTCCTCCTCCTCCTCCTCCTCCTCCTCCTAGGGGTCGAGGGTCCCCACCCCCAGCAGGGCGCCCGCGCGGCCGCGCGATAGGCCCCTGTGTCGCGGCGAGGCGCCGCGCTGCCTGGCGCCTGGGCTGCTCTTCGCGAGCGGCGCTGCGCGGCGCTGGCAAAATTCTCGGAGGGCGGCGCCGATCGCCGTCTCCGTCCTGGCACAGGAGACTGCGACGAGCGCGGTCCTCCGCCAGGCACCTACTCCAGGTTGAGGCAGCCAGGTCCCTTCTTCTCGGACACCACGGATCGGCACCGCCAGAGACCTGCATGGCAAGCAGGCCACCGAAGGCCAAGGATGCTGTGCAAATCGAACCTCGTTGGGCTTGCGCTGCTAGTCGTCAGTGTGGCTTCACCAAGAACTACGCGGGGAACAGCCGATGCTTCAAGTGCGGGAGGAACCGTGCTGGGCAGCCAGACCCCGCTGGACCACCTTCCCGCAGGCCCGCGCGATCTCCAGCCGCTTCCCGCCGTGCTTCGAGCAGGACACGAGGAGGCAGCGCCAAGAGAGAGCGCCAGGCCGAGGTGGAACCCGACGAGCAGGTCACAGACGCAGTCGCACGGGCCCGTAAGGCAGTCTCCGCGCTGAAGCGGCCGGGCATCGACGACTCGTCCAGCTTACTGGCAGCCGCCAAACGCGAGCTCCAGCAGGCCGAGGAGGTCGAGAGAGCCAGTCGCACACCAGACGACCAACTCCGCAGGGCGCTCGACCGCCAACAGCAGAAGACCCGAGAGGTGGAGCTTCTCACCGTGGAGGCGGCGGAACTGGAGCAGGCCTACACCTCCAAGGCAGCCGAGCTCAAGGCCGCGAAGGAGGAACTGGGCACGATCACCACCGAGGTCCAGGTCGCCCGTGCAGCAGTATTGGCCACCTCAGGGTCCGCCTCCAACACCAGCGCGGGCACGGACGCCGAGATGGACGAGACCTTGGAACGCCTCGGTCGCATCGTCCATGCCGCTGGCAGCGTCACCGCAGGTAATGAGGCCACCTACGTCGAGTCGCTCGCCAAGCAGTTCCACGAGCTCAGGACGGCCATCACACGTCAGCGGGCTCCAGCCAGCGCAGCCGCAGCCCACGTTCCAGATCCAGGCACACCGACTGCTTGGGACGCTCAAATCCCATCTGAAGACCGTGACATCGACTTGGCCATTCGAGAAGGTACCTAGCCTACGGTGGACAGTCCTTCTTTCGGTGATCTCGCTGTGCCTCGACACGGACGAGCTCGCCAACATGCCTCGGCAACTCGCTGACGGCCGAATTATCTCCTTGGAGGCCACGACACGCAGTCATCCTTATGACAATTTTGGTGTCTCAGCGCCTTCGCAGTCTTCAGCTGGCGGAGCAGTTTTGCCTGCAGCAGGGCGGCACAATGTATGCTCTCCCATTGCAGTTGCTCCACATATGAGGCGTGGCAGTTCCACAGTTTTGGCAAGTGGCGACCTTGCGGAGTGGGAAGCACGCGTCAACGACATTCTTCTTGACGAACAACGGCTACTGCAGCATGTGCCTGTAGGGTCGCTTGTGCTATCTGGGCCACTGACGAGTGGCAGCAGCCCCCAGACGGCACAGAACAAGGATGGGGCCGCTGACGAGCGGGTGGTCGATGCCCCCATTCTTGCTGGCGATGTTACAGGCGGGTGCCTGCAGAGCCCACTCGGTGACGACGTGGAGATGCTTCCCGACCACCGCGCCCTTAGCACTCAGCTGGGTCACTACGCTCGTCACTGGGCAGCAGACTTCATTGCATGGGAAGACCTCATGGCTTATGAAGATTGGCTATGGTGGTGCAGGCCATGGGCGTCTCAGCTTATCCAGGAGGATCCGACGCTGAGCCCGCTAGTTCAGTCTCCAGCCCACCTGGACGCTCTTGTCGAGCGCATATGCAATGCCGCGTGGTTCCAGCACGAGGACACCACGCGACGAATGCTCATTCACTACGAGCGGATCTATCAGCTTGACCGTGCCAGGTGGTTCTCTTTGCTGCAGAGGCGCATGACGCTGCTTCACGCCATGCGGCACGCTATCGCTACATTGCAGGCCGAAGCGCCGTACACAGACTTCCTCATTGGAGAAGCGACGAGGCAGTATGACGCCTCTATTCAGCAGATGACACTCATACGTGACTTACTACCTGCTGATGGTTCTGCATTACCTCCGCATGATGTTCCGCAGATTCCTGTGCCTATCCTACCTCTTCTGGCTCAGGCTGATGACGCGCCTAATGTGGAGGACCCCGACGGGGCAGGGACAGCTGATAGACCTGAAGATGCGACGTCCATGTGTCAAGTGAGTGTCAACGTGCGAGCAGAGCACGCTGTTCGGCGACGCCGACGGGACCCCAGTTCAGGCCCAGTGAACGGCAGTACGATGCCGCTACCAGCCGCAGCCTCTAGCTCGAACGGTACGCGAAGGGAAGCCCCAATCCCGTCCGTAGGCGCCGGTGCCAAACCTGAGCTGAAGGCCTCTTCACCTCCTCAGCTTGCCAGTACTCGGCCTGAGGTGGGCTCGGGTGCGGCATGTAACCTACGGGCTAACAGTGGGGTATTCGTCCGCCACAATGCTGGACAACGGCTGCGGCACCGCGCGCCGAAGAGGACCTCCGATCTCCGCATGGTCACATTCAACAGTTCAGGATGGCCTCAGTTGCAGGACTTCCTATCCTCTACGACTGGCTACGCGATCGTTGCGGCGCAGGAGCTGCACTTAGCTGGGCCGCGCAGGCAGCTTGCTGAGGAGTGGTGCGCTCGTCACGGTTGGCAGCCCTTCATCACCGATGCCATCCCGACGGAAGCAGGACAACATACTGCGGGAGTGGGCTTGTTCGTGCGCAAGAACATTCACGTGGTCCCGCTCAGCGGCATGGTACACGGACACACCGTTATTCCTGGATATGCAGTTGGTGTCATAGTCCAGACTGGCATGAGACGCGCTACTCACTACTCGCTACGCTCCCACTACTCACTACTACCTACTCCCAACTCGCTACTCCCAACTCACTACTCACTACTCCCTACTCACTACGCACAACTCACAACTCACTACTCCCCACTCACTACTCGCTACTCCCTACTCGCTACGCACTACTCCCTACTTTCTACTCACTAGTGACTCCTGACTACTCCCTCCTCGCTACTCACTACTCACAACGCCCTACTCGCTACTCACTACTCACTACTCGCTACCCCCTACTCGCTACTCCCTACTCACTACTCGCTACTCACCATTCACTACTCACTACTCTCTACTCACTGCGCACTACTTACTCACTACTCACTACTCTCTACTCACTCCTCGCAATTCGCCATTGTCTACCCCCTCATCCCTACTCCCTGCTTACTACTCACAATGCACTACTCACTCCTCCCAACTCACTTCTCACAGTTCCTTACTCACTACTTCCTTCCCATTACTCACTACCCACCATTCAATACTCACAACTTATTAATCTCTACGCACTACTACCACTACCCATTACCCACTACTCACTATCAAATACCCACTACTCACCACTCGCTACTCAACACACTACACTCCCTACTCACTACCCGAGAGGCCCTCTCCCCAGCCCCCTGTTCGGTGCAAAGGGGGGGAAGAGGGGGGGGTCGCCCCCCCCCCCGCCCTTTCCAGCGCCAAGGGGTGAGAGGGGGGGTCCGGAACTCCAACCCCTCCCTTCAAGGGGGGGGGGTCGGATCCCCTCCCCCCTTGGGGGGGGAGTGTGGGGGGGGGTCGAAAATCTCCCCCCCTTTGAAAGGGGGGGAGGGGTTCTGCGAGCACGCCCCCCCTTTTGTGTATTCAGGGCCATCCACAGCGCGCTTTCAAAAATAGGCATAGAAAGAGAAAGAGAGAGAGAGAGAGAGAACAAAAAAAAGAGGAAGAGGGAGACGCTAAAAGAAAAAGAGAGAGAGAGAGAGAGAAAAGCACAGCAAAAACGAGAAACCGTGAGAGCGAGAAGAGCCCGTACCACCAGAACTCCATAG